TCAAGAATACTTACTCATTTAAAAATGTGAAAAATAGATCGTACTATTACCTATCAAGAATGTCAGAGGTTTAGACGACACAAAGGAGGCATTAGCCTCAAGAGTCACCTTCATGGAGTCGGTTCAAAATGCTCCAGTGGCAATGGTGTTAGTCCTACTGGAGAGAACTAAAAAAGAAAGTGAGATATCGACATTGATACAGTCCCATGCTACGTGACTTCCAGAATGTGATGATTAACGGACTTCCAAGAGCATTATCGCCCTTGAGAGACAATCAGCACGCAATAAATCTCATATCTGGATCAGTGCTAGCAAACCGACCGGCCTTCAAATTGAGCACTGCGGAGTACAAGGAGTTGCAATAATAGGTAAAGGATCTTGTCGCGAGAGGGTTGGCCAGAGAGAGTACCAGCTCTTGTGTTGTCCCCGCCCTGATAGGACCCAAGAAGGATGGTTCATGGCGAAAGTCCATTGACAATAAGCTTATCAACATGATCACTATCAAGTATTGTTTCTCTATACCTTGCTTGGATGATCTCTTAGATCAGTTGCACGGAACCACCCTCTTTTCTAAAATTGACTTACGAAGTGGATACCACTAAATCTGAATAATCTTAGGACGCAGGATGGCTTATAGGAGTGGGCATTTATGCCATTCAGATGTTCTAACACGCCCGGCAGTTTTATGAAGCTGACAAATCAGGTGTTTCAGGATGCGGGTTTTTGTTATGTGTTATAAATATTTTTCAACATCATAACACACAAGGCAGCTATACTCAATAATATGCAAATTAACTACAATAAAATTTACTTCAGCACAATAAATTTTCTCCTCTAAATATCTAAAATTGTTACTCCTAGTAAATTAAGGTGTACTTTCAATTTCAATTAGTCCCTAGATTTAAAATGCAAGTATATGTATCACTTAAGTAATAAAGGGCACTAATGGAGTCCTAAGCAACAATCCCACAGGGAGGTGAAATTTTGTCTGGAAAATCATGCAAAAGCACAATATTTAAACTATAGAAAACTTAAGCAAGAAAACAATCAAAATTTATTTAATGTCACTGAAGAAACAACGTTTACTATACTAATCTCTGAACTTCAAAGTTAAATTTACTAAAAACTAAACTAGGTTTTGTGACCAAAAGTTCAATTTTAAGAAAGCATGTTTCTCCTTACAACGAGATTATAGTCAGTGAATTATCAAAATTAAGAAAATTGTATATCAAATATGAGGAATTATATTATGTATCTTTTTTACAAGTGATAAAGAACATTAGTTAATTCAGTGTTTAGTCCCTAAATATGTGGTTAAGTTGGGAAGATACCGACTCTCAATCCAAAGTTCTCACGCTCCCCTTGCCTGAGAGCTAACATCTCGCTTTATTTTTCCAAATGTCTGGACCAAATTGAAAATTTTAGTCTGTCACCCTAAAATCTCCAATTTCATGTCATCAATGAATATTTTCCTACCTATTTGCACTCAATCTCATGGACTACATTCTTATCTATAAAATCGAATGTGATTCTTATTTTGTTGTGGAAAGCAAAACCCTCTCGGATCGTATATTTCATAACAAATTTTAACAAATCAATTGGTCAGATTGAAAAGTAAATGGAATTCGAAGTTTGAATCATCACAAATATAAAATTAAAATATTGCACTACAATATTGATTATTCACATGATCATTTCTCTTTGAAGGGAGAAGAACAAAGAAATTTACTCATGATTCATGAGGAAGATACGACAAAACATGGATTTATATATAAAAACAGGTTTACAAAACAAAAAAAAAGTAAAACAACTTAACTCGATCTTTTCCCTGAGCAAATCCCATGAAATTCATTTGAATCTCTTTCTCTTTACAATAACACTCAAATCTCTCATTGAAATGTAAAGAATAAGAAACATCTCACTTTACCTCTCCTCTTACAACCCTTAGAGACACTTGCAATACTATCCCACAACTTGGAACTCGCGCCTCACTCACTAACACTCAACACACCACTTTTCCTGACATAAAAATACTCTTTTATAATGCAGGGAATTTACGAAGAGTCTCCATATGCACCCCTTCAAACTCCGTCCAGATTCAATGCATTTGTGAAAATAATCGTCTCTGGCGCCTAGGCGCTGTCTTCTATGTATTCTGGAGCTTAGGCGTCAGTTCAATTTTTGGAAAACGTCACTTTTGACTCCAAATTTTATACTTTTTGCATCATTTAAGCTTCAAATGCCTAAACTTAGTATACAAGCAAGAAAACATGAAAATATATTTCATTAAAGTGCAATATCACCAAATATAATCCTTAAATACATATGAAAAATTGGATTTTTTTTTTTGTGTATCAGTGGGGTACTTCAACGACATTCCGGTATACAGTTGATCCGACGAGAGCTTGCAGCACCTAAGGACGATCTTCGAGGTATTACGAGCAAAAAAAAAATATATGCCCATCCAAAGAAGTGCCACTTGATGACAGTTCGGGTATGTTTTTTGGGCTATATCATGTGTAGCTCAAGTATTCAAATGGACCGTACAAAAATCGATGTCATTGTGAGCTAGACCGCGCCGCAGTCTTTCATCAAGCTATGATAGTTTCTAGGACTAGCATCAATTTTCAGGCAATTCATCAGGAGGTTCCACGCCATCACCACTCCTTTGATAGAGCTTTAGAAGGGAGAGAAGTTCCAGTAGACAGAGGAAACTTAGAATAGTTTTGATGCACTAAATGAGAAGGTATCCATTCACCAGTTTTTGCATTACCAGATTTTAACCAAGTGTTTGAGATAGCATGTGATGCATCTGATGTGAAGAAAGGAGCAACGTTGAGCCAAAGAGGTCATCTCATCATCGCATTTTTCAATGAGAAGCTGAATGAGTCCAGGAGAAATACTCGACATACGACAAAAAGTTTTATTCTATTGTAAGAGCTCTTGAGCATAGAAGTCGCTGCCAACTGACAAGCAAGTTCACGTTATTCACGAACCACGAAGCCTTAAAATTCTATCACAACCAGGGTAAACTGAAGGCCCGACATACAACTTGGGTGGAGTTTTTAGTTTCGTTCTAGTTCATGCTTAAGCACAAGGCGAGGAGTCAGAACTGTATAGTAGATACATTAAGCCACCATCACTTGCTGATCAAAGTGACGCAGGCTCGATTCATGGGATTTGAATAGTAAAGGAGCTATGCGAGAAAGATGAGGATTTTGGAAAAAACTTGGAGCGGTGTCGGGAGAGCATAACGGGCAATACTACAGAGTTGATGATTACTTGTTCTACCAAAGTAAAATATACATTCCTAAATGTTCGTTGAGAGAGGTTCATGGAGGTCTTGCACTCATGAGAAAATATTTCTTCTGGCGCCCACTAGAGAGAGTATGGAGCGACATGTCCGGCAATGTCGGATTTAGCATATGGTAAAAACCAGAGGGCAGAATGCAGTGTTATACATTCCATTACCAGTATCGGAGGTGTCGTGAATGGATGTTAGCATGAATTTTGTGGTAGGACTTCCGAAGGCAGCAGAAAAAGGATTCAGTCATGGTCATGGGCATTAATTCTCTAAGATTATACAAATCGTACCAAGTCATTGGACACAAGATTCATCGCAAGTCGTTGACTTGTATTTCAGGGAGATTGTGAGGCAGCACAGGGTATCAAGTTCCTGGGTCACTTCTGGAGGACTCTGTGGGGAAAATTAATCACCAAACTTCAATTCAATTCAACAGCTTACCCATAGACGAACGGTAGGACGGAGGTAGTAAACAGAAGTCTTGAAAATCTGCTTAGATGCTTCGTTGGGAAGAATATCAAGCAGTAGGACCTGATGCTAGCTCAAGCTGAGCTTGCTTACAACATATATGTGAATCAGACTATGGGACACACCCCACTTGAGATTGTGTATTAATGCAACCCACGCACTCCACTTGAATTGGTACAACTCCTGCCGACGTTAGAGATTAATGACGATGTTGAGGAACGATTTAGAAACTACACGAGGAGATCGAAAAAGAGATCACTAAGCAAAATCTAAAATATCACGCATTTGCAAACAAGACAAGGAAAAAAATGACTTTTCAAGAAGGGAACCTGATATGGATCCTGCTGATAAAAAGAAAATTACCAATGCGATAATTCAAAAAACTTGAGTTCATAACAGATAGACCTTTCAAAATACTCCAAAAGTTGAATGACAATGCTTACAAAATCGATCTGTCAAGGGACTACAATATATCCGCCACGCTCAATGTCGTGGACTTGACACCATATTACAAAGGCCAACAGTTTTGACAAATAAAGTCGAAGCTCCCCCAAACACAGGAAACTGATGTGGGGGCTTAGTTGAACTGGTTCAGCAAGGATGTCAATCCAGTAGGAAGTTGGACCAGTCGGTTGATTCAATGAGCAGGAACTACAGCCCTTTCCCCTCACCCCACCTACTCTATCTAGCATTATATAAATGTTGCTTATGTGTTTTAGGGTTTGGTTTTGTTGATTTATGACTCCGGGTGTCTCCTTGTTGAGGTTGTATCTGAGGACATGTGGTGTTCTAGTTATATCCTGATCTGAGGTAATGATTATCTCCTCGGCACTTGGTTGTATTCCCCCTCCCCCTGCTCGTTGGTCCTCAACCAGCGCACCTCCAGACCCACCCAGCCGTCGAATCCCCGGCCTTCACTCTTTTGCTGTCGCAAGCTCCACCACAGTCCGCCTGCTATCTCTCCACCCCCCTGCTCGCTGATCCTCAACCAGCGCAACTCCTAACCAGTCTAGCCGTCGAATCCCCAGCCTTCCCTCTAATGCCCTCGCAAGCTCCACCGCAATCCGCCTACTATCTCTTCACCATCACTAGCAAAGTAAAATACCATTCTACCATAACTTCCAACATGGTCCAAAGTTGCCATGGAGATAAATCTAATTTACGTAAACTAAATCTTGTCAATTTTAAAATCAAACAAATAATGAATTTTTAAAATCATCAAACGTACCAAATGAATGATCTCTGGTTTGTTGGTGTTTGTTCCACGTCGAGCTATGCCCTTATCCATACCACGACCATCATCAATAACATTTGAGAAGAGACTCTCCAATTCTGAAATATCTATTTCAGGAGCCCTGTCCAGAATTATTCACGTCATGAGGTTTTAGAACTAGAATGCCATTCAACAAAATATCTTCCTCGATAATAAATATATTAGTTGCTGGTTTAGGGAAAACAACTTCCTCTATAATAAAACTATAAGTTGCTGGTTTAGGGAAAACAATGTTTTTAAGAAAACCTAAAACAATGCATCATCGACAAGAAAAAGATATTTCTTTGCATGGCATAATTCCAGTGTCATATAAACTCAATCACAAAAAAAGTAACTAGTTTACAACAATCAAATGTTAAGAAAATTCAATAACGGCTAAATATATCGAACTAAGCTACAAAAATTGACAAAAATACATAACAAGGAACAAGAGACCAACAGGGTTGTAAACGAGCTTGACCTCATTTGAAGGTATTGTTGTTTGAAATTAGCTCGAGTTAAAAATTAACTCATTAATAATATGTTCGTGTTCAATTCAATTTATATTACTTTGTTCGTATAGGCTCAAAATTAACTCGTGCTCGAAATTGCAATTTAATTTTCTTAATTATCAAGTTTAGGGTTTAGGGTTTGTTGTTCTTGTTTGTATCAAGCTTGATTTGAGCCCCACAACTCATCTAGAATAAATGAACCAGCTCCCAAACTTAATAATTAGTAATGTAAATGAGCAGTGATTTTTTAACCTTATTAATCATAATAATTTTACCAATTTAAGAGTAGTTCTATTTTAAATGATTTTGAATAAATCTAAAAAGTTCGCTGCTAAAACCCCAACATACTTACACGCACACATAAGTCGCTAAACTCAACTTCAGCCACTCTGCTTTTCTTTTTATACAAAGGCTATACTTTGCATCTTCCCAATGTGGGACTGAAGGCATTGCTTTCACATTGCTTTCAATCATATTTACAAACATAACACCCTAAATGTGGGGGCATTTACATACATACCACCCAATCCTTATGTATTTACATATCTAACACCTAAATTTTGTTTTTTTACATATATACAAATCAAATCTTTAATATCATATCAAAAACACATCTATTTTAATTGATACGCAAACCGTAACCAATAAATTATTATTGTTGAAATTCAAACAGTTACAACAACGATTCATCAAAACAGGAAATAAACGATAAACAAACACAAATAGTCCCCTAGAGTGAAGATGACGGTGGCGGACACTGGCTAGACAATTGGTGGGGAGGCTGGTTGAGGGTGCGGCAGCAGCAGGGAGTGTTGGAGTGGGCCTGCCATAGCAGCAGTAGGTGCAGGGAGGGATGGTGGCAGCAGCAGTAGGTGCTGGGACAAGCGGCAATGGCAAGAGATGGTGCAGGGGGGTGGCCGTAGTGGCAGGCAAAGATGTAGTGATTGGCAGCACGGTAGGAAAAATCAGAGGTGATTGTTGGCAGCACAGCAACAGCGAAAGATAGAGATGGCAGCGGGGAAGTGCAGTGGGAAACTATATAGGCGGAAGATCAATGAGTAGGGAATTGACGTTGGCAGCTAGAAGTAGAGAAGGTGTGGAGAAATAGCTGGCGGCGGAAAGAAGGGATGCAAGAGCAGCGACATCAAACAAAAAAGGAGTAGATACATACTACCTCAAAACAAGTTACAGTCGAAGAACTTTCTCGCCACCGAACACAACTCAAAAAAATGGAAAAATGGGATGTCAATGGCTGTCCAAATAGAAATTTCAACAAAAACTACACCCTAAACAGTCAAAACAACATATATATACAAATAGAAAACTATCAAAGGAGAAGCCCCTCCTTGGGGCAATAAAACCAGCCCCCTTGGACTAGACAGCCCAAACAACAGCAAGGTTGAACTGATTCTATGCTCTCCAGTTGGATCAGCCCTCCAGAGCCCTACGTCAGTCTCCTGGGGCTGAGAGGGTTTCCATCTCATTCGTCGAAGCTTATGGTTGCACATTAACGGTGTGGAGTTGTTCAAAGCTCTTGGGGCTGAAGGAATTTCTACTGTGGTATGAGAAGCACATGAATCCCACTGATGACCTCACCGTCCCCCAAAGCACCTCAATATTTTTCCCCACTTGCGAGCATGCATCCATATCGCTCCATGCTTTTGGGGGTCCACTACGGAGCTGAGTTGGATCTGCGTGTCATGCATATACTATTGTATCCTCCCAAAGTAATCCAAATTCGGCTCAACCTACTCCGAAGTGTAAGATATCGATCGTGATGTCCCAAAACACTCTCTGTTGTGATTGTCCCGTGTTTAGAATCGATGTCTCAATCCTATTATCCTCTGTCACCAACAAAATTGGGCCCACCAATGTTGTTCTGGTAAAAAGAGCACCTGTGATTTCGAGCTTTGCCAAATGAAGAAAGACGATGTGCTTTCCCTTCTTGGTGAAGGAGTAAATATTTTTTAATTCGTGTTAAATCCTACAGCCAAATTATCACAGCCTTCCGAATAAAAGGTGGCATGCAACCATGAGTATCGCATCGCACCACACCTGATCATGCAACTGGCTCTCAATCGAAAACTCCACCAGGCACCTCCGGTCAATGTTGACTCTATTCTCCTTCTTCAATCATGTCAGAGAATGTGGTTGGGAATGTCTATGAATTGTGAGGCTCAATTTCTCTACCATTTGCATAAACGCCACATTCTTGTTGATATCTCATCGATAATGAGACTGCATACATTCTCGTTCACAGTGCAATGAATGTAAAATATGTTATGGCACTACAGATCACCTGTATGCTCAGTCTATATGACTCTTCGAACCACGAGCATCTCACATTCATTCGGTGGAAGATGATACACCTCGCCCTGTTCCTCAACTGCCTCCTCGTCGCTAACCTCCTCCACTGCGCTTTGCTCGGCAAAAGACACAACTTTACTCATCAGACAGCTAGAGGCGATGTGCCCAAATCCCTAGCATCTAAAGTATTTTTGGGCGGAGACCGTAGTAGGCATGTTGCTCTTCTAGAGCTTCTTCTTACTCGAACTATCTTTGTTCTTATCTAAACAAATTTTTTCAACTCTCTGAGGCGTGCTCCTGTCGACATCTCCCATTGCGGGTGGTTTTTTGAATGGCGGTGTTTGTCTGCTCTGTCTCTGATGTCTCTCTACCTTCAAAGGTAAGGTCTGAACATCTCCCAGTGGCCAATAAAACTGCAATTGCATCACATTATTGATAGTGGGTTTTAGGCCCCCTAGATAATGAGTTATGGCATGTTCCTTTGACTCGACCAACTTATACTTCATTTGCAACTAGTCAAAGTGCATCGTGAACTCCTCCACTGATAAGTCACTTGATGTATGTGGTGCAGCCTCAGAAACAAATCCTGACAATAATGAAGAGGTAGGTATTTTCTCTGCATCTCCTTCCTCGTCTTCTCCAATCTAGTACTCTTGTCACAGCATTATCTATATCTATGTTCTAAAAGTTCTCTCAATTTGAGGGGTTGCAAGCTTCACCCTTCTATCCTCTGGCACTTCTTTGTATTTGAATATCCTCTCAACTAATTATAGTCATTTGATGAAATCGTCAGAATCCAGACCTCAATCGAACTCAAGTAAGTCCACTTTGATGCCAAAATCCTTGTGTCATTCATATGTAGTCTCCTCTTTCGACCTCCTCTGATATTGAATTCCAAAGCGTCAAAGCCTCTCTTCCTCATCATTGAAGTCAACCTCGTAGAAGGGATTCAGATCATCGTTTGTTCCCCCCCCCCCCCCCCCCCCCCCCCCTTCCCCCCCGCGCCCGACTCTCCATATCACGATCGAGGATAACCTCCCCCTGGGTTCTATCATCCATCTAGGCAAACCTCTACTGAAGATAAAGGAGATCTCGCAGTATCTTTTTCTAGGTATGCTCAAGCCAGCATCTTCTAGGTGACATGGTTGAGGCTTTAGAATTTGTGGGAGTATAAAGGGTATTTGGTGGTAGGAAAGATAAATTTTGCTGGAGATGATCCGAGTATGAAGGATGCTAAGAAACCCTACGATATGACTAGGATTATGCTAGCTCTAATATTAATTATTATCGGGTAAACCCAAACTGCAACATAAAAGGAATAATTATTGTTGAAATTTAAACGACTATAAGAATGACTCATCAAAATAAGAAATAAACGACATACAAACACAAATGGTTCCCTAGAGTGAGGATGACCTCAGTGAACACCGGTCGGACAGCAGGTGGCAAGTTGGGTGGAGGGGTCTTGTGTTAGCAACAATGGGTGCTAGGAGGGATGGTTGCAGCATCAGCTTGAGATACAGGGATAGGCGGCAATGGCAGGAGATGATGCAGAGAGTGGCGACAGCAACGCGCAAAGATGGAGGGGTTGGCAGCATAGTAGGGGATGTTGGAGGTGGATGGCGGCAACGGCAAGAAAGGCCGACGGCACTTGCGGCAATAACATGCGGGAGATAGGGCTGGCGGCAAGGAAGGGCTGTGGGAAAACGTGCAGGCGGAAGTTCAACAAGTAGGAAATTGATGTTGGCTGCTAGAAGCAGGGACTGTGCGAAGGAATGGTTGGTGTCATGAAAAAGGGATGCAGTCAGCGGCAGCAAGCAGAAAACAGAAGATACACACCACCTCGGGAAAATTTATAGCCAAAGCACGATCTCAAGGTTGAACCAAGAACCATAAAAGAAGAATGGGACGTCGACGACTGACAAAATAAAAATCTCAACAAAAACTAAACCCTAAATAGTCAAAAAAACATATATATACTAATAGATAACTAGGGGGAAGCCCCTCCCTTTGGGCGATAAAACTAAAAGTCAAACACAATTGAATAAAAGTTTGTCATGTTAGGCTTGTTAAAAATTAAGCTTGAAATTTTATTTTTGTTCAGCTTGTTTGCATAACTAATGAATGAAACAAGAGGTACTGATAGAGTTGATCGCAAACTTTTCGCGAACGACGAGATTTTTTGACAACCGTAGAAACCAAGGATATAATAACATAACATTCACAAATATCAATAAGTTTCTTCAAGCAACATCAAACAGCTTTTTTTCCACTGAAAGGCATTTATCTAATTACACTTACTTTGATACGTCTTCAGGCTTATGAGGATCAGCCCATAAGCTTCCTTGCATGGCTCGCGTGACTTTCACCCAATGCAATGGTTTTAATGATCCTTTCTTCTGTGAATTGGTAGTTGGTGCAAGGCCACTTGTTGAACCAGGCTCAGTTGCTTTTCCTCTTCCAGCAGGTGAGAGCAGTGGTATGCTCGAAAGTTTTACATCAGAAACCTGAGGTGGACCAGGAACTTTCTGATTTCCACCAAGTAAGGCTGGCGGTTGTTTACGTAACAATGGAGGTGGTGGAGGCACCGGGGCATTGCATCCAGATAATGGAGGTAGAGGTGGTGGTGGTGGTGTCGGATGTGTAGCCTTAGAACTGGCACAAACAAAACCTGGAGGAGGGGGAAGTCGTGGTGGTGGTGGTGGGGAAGGACCATTGCCACCTGAAGAAGGGGGAGGTGGTGGGGACGGCGGTGGGCCTCTAGCCAACATTGAAGTTGGTCGTGGCAAATATGGCGGAGGTGGTGGAGGTGGAGCATTTCTAGACAGAGTAGAAGGTGGGGGTGGCTGTGGGCCTCTATCAAACATTGGACGAGGTGGTGGTAGAGGTGGAGGTGGAGGTGGAGGTGGAGGTGCGCCCAAATTGAACATTGGAGGAGGAGGTGGGAGTGGAGGTGGACCTCTACTTGACATTGAAGGAGGAGATGGGGGCAATGGATGATCCCTACTATAGATTGGAGGTGGCAATGGAGACAGAGGTGGAGGTGGAGGTGGAGCTTCTTCAGAATTGACCAAAATTGAAAGTCCTAAATGTTTGTCAAGTGGAGGTGGAGGTGGAGGCGGCAGCGCTACTGACAACAATGGCGTAGGTAACAATATTGGTGATGCTGGTGTGGCTACATGTACGGAATTAGGATAAGTTGCTTGCAAGGAACCTATAATTTGAACATACCTCGGACATTATTCATTTGCATGATATATGGAAGAAAGGTAAAATTGAAGTATAACTCACCAGTCAGGTCAGTATGTTGGCATGCAGATTCATCAATTAGATTCTCAAACTGAGTGCTAATCATTGCTCCAGTCTGAATCTTTTCTTGGTCCCCTGAAGCTACGGAATCTGAAGTTATAGAGCCCTTCTCTTCCTCAGAATCTGAAGGCGACGCAAAGGACATTTGGTCACTTGCCTTGTTGTGCAGTTCATAAAAGTCTCTCGTGTCAGTCAGCATTTGATTTTCGATTCTTTCATGCAAAGCATTCGTCGATATTTGTTTGAGCAACCAAAATGCAGCATCTCCATTGCTATCTGCCCACTCCACGCCATCAAAAAGGTCTTGAACCATGGAAAATGCTTCAATGGGTAATCCACCTATTGTCTCGCCATTCAAAGTTGGTGTCGGGGTCATTGGAGAAGAGACATTGTCCACTTCACCAAACAAAATCTGCATAAAAACAGCCATCATAAGAACATAAATTAATGAAGGACATGCTGCATTTACTTAACCAAGATAAGATCAGGAAAATTGCCCTCACCTCTGCTCGAAAACGTTTAGAATATCTTCCCTTTGCATCCCATAGAATATCAACATCTTCAGAGTTCAAGATCAAAATGTTTGACCTAATGAAAGCGGTATTAAACATGACACGAAACATCATAACCTCTCTTTCCGGATCTAGGTTCAAATGAACACATTCGAAGACAACATCACCCCGGACCAGGCATTGGATGTCAATCTTAATAACTCCACAATCTTCCTGCATTTTGACATTTCCAAGACTTAGATGCGTGTCAAATAAGTTGTTCATATAATTTTCAACAAGTATAAAAGGAATCTTCTACCTGACGGTAGTACCGCAATGATTTCTTCTTCCTGGACATTGAAAACAACATGTTCTTTTCAATATAATTTTGGCCATGTGGATGTCGGCCAAAAATACGAACCAAGGGTCTGCACCCCTTGTCTGAATCGAAGTTAGGAATAGATCGTAGAATGAGGCAATCCAAAGAAAGTATCCGCTCAGCAGGAGGCCACTCAGAAGATATATTCCTCCGAGATATATATTGCAAATAACGAAGTTGAGAAGGTAAGGGATTTAGAGGAGACAGAAGTTGTAGAAGACCTTTAGGGGCTTCACGATGGACAACTTGAAGAGTGTGTTGCTCTCCATGATGCAATTTTCTGAAAATAAGAAAGCTTGCCAGGAGAAATGCTAAGAGTGGCCAACCCCCCCTCTCACAATGTAGTAGAACAACATTTTGATTAGACAACCAACTATCACAGACTCGAAGGAAGTGATGGACAAGAGATAAAGGAAGAAGAGGGCATCCCTCATATTGTCGTGGATAATCAATAACAGTTACATCATATTCAGAAAGAATTTCTGCAAACTTGCTCCTTTTTTCTCCATCTCTAAAATTAAAAGCTAATAAAGAAGAATCAGGATAAACTTCACATAGCTCTGTTACAATCTCGGTTAAGTATATCTGATAAATTCCATCAGACAAAACCTCCGTTGAGAAGCATGAATCAAAAACTGCATGTTGCAAAGGATTTAGTAAGCTTAAGTCCATTAAAGCCCAAGAGTTTAAATAATTAACCCTATTCCTTCTAGCCATCGTTATGAGCCTCTTCCTGGATGAAGAGATCTTGATAACTTGAGTGTCGTGGCTAGAGAAAATCAGGAAAGAAGATTAACAATGAACGTGCCGAACCAAAAAAAAAAAAGGTTCCTTACTATAAACCCTCTCAACAAATTCCAGCAAGCCATCAGGTGGTCTTCTGTAAAACAACCTGCTTAAGAGAGACATCGCACATCCAAAAGGAAAGATTGGATACCAATCTAAAGAACCCTGTAGAGAGTTGCACAACATAAGATTCTGGAAGCCAGTGAGAGTTTAAACATTCATTCACTGTGCTGTGACTATCATCTTTCAAGTAGACAGAAAGCACGCCCAATCTGAATACAAAAAGCAGCATGCTGTCTGGATATTAACAATAAGATCAGCATTTCACATCCTTGAGAAATATAAACTGTGATCTAGAATACATGCAGGGATGGCTTGGTTAAAAGATTTAGCCATAATTTAGGCTAAAACCTGCATATACCAATTTGCGGATAAATCCCGCCTTAAGAGAATTGCTCAAATTCACCAAGTGTCTCTGCTTCTCCTTAATTAAAATACTAAATCTTAAAAACATCCACCAAATAAAATAAGAGCATTAAACAATAATTAATATCCGTCAGTCCAAATAGTTCTCACAATCACCACCTATAGAATTTACTAAAATTAGATTTCCAAGAATAACTAAAACCATACTTGAATTAAATACTAGTGGTAGCCAAGCGGCCCCTTCCCTAAAAGGCCACAACGAGCTGCCATGCACGATACTAACAAAGCATGATAAGTATGTCCGGTTAGGCGTGCATTGTGCCGATGATTGTATACCTACTAACAAGTTCGAGTTATCCACCAGTGTAGCATCTAAGAAACCCCACGTCGAAAAAATTGAACATCGCAAAACATAACGCAAATTCTACATTTACCTGGTCCTGAGAAAGTCTACATTACCGCCGCCATGGTTTTCTTCATCTGAGCTCATGTTACAGTGTAATGTGGACCATAACATACAAAATCGAAATTCCACTCCAGTGGGTATTAGCTGTTGAGAATAAAACAACTATATAAAAGACTCCGGGAGCTGAAATCTATTCTCACATTGCATCGAATAGAATCAAAGATGAGCCCTAAACGTCGTCACTCGAGGGAGAGCAGCACCCATGCGCAGAATGACGATACGCCGATAAGCCTGCCTATAAACAAAGATAACGAGAGCTGCTTGAATTTGTGAAGGTAGATTAATGGTAGGACATTCGCCGGGAAGGGAATGGCTGAGGAGGCAGGAAGAGCAGGCTCGAGCGCATTTTAACAGCTTCTTCTTCCCTGTATCGCGAGCCCAAATATCTCGCGCAAGTGGTTAGCGGTTTAATCCCGATCGAGCAGCAGTCTAGACCTATCGTAGCGAGCGGCCGGGCAATGCAGACGCGTAGATAAGTGAGTCGAGTTCGATACTTTACTCATCATTATAAAGCAAAAAAAAAGTATTGGGAGGACTTATTCCTAAAGAAAAAAATGGTGGGGGATTTATATACATATCACATAATACATTTAATATTATATACCCCACACTCAGAACTCTCAAATTCATATTTAGGGATTTAAATACATATCACGAGAAACATATGAAAATTTACATATTTAACTCTTATGGTCTGTTTGGGGCGGCTGATAAGCAGGTTATACTGATAATCTGTTGATGAACAGCTGATCCGGATAAGTTGTCTGGCTTTTTGGTTGGCGCTTATGGAAAACAGCTGATTTTAAAAAATTGATCATTCTGCCCATGTTCTGAATAAGCAATTTAGCTGTTTGGTTATTGCGTTTTGTAAACAACTTATTTGAAATTTTTTTTTAATTAAATGAATAATCTGTGCAACAAAATTTGTTCTTTTTTCAACAAAATTAAAGATCAATGTTGAAATAAGAAAATACCAAAAAGTTGATTTATATTTATATAACTAAAACATATCTGATCACATCAAACAAATATGTTACACATACAAAAGTCAAATACACCAGCGCATACTACTACAAAGTATAATAAGCGCCCATAAAAAAGAAAAAATAACATGTTAAAATGATAAGTAAAAATATGATAATGTTAACTTTATAACGTAGCAACATATCACGGCACATGCCACCTGCATCTGACACTCCAGAACCCTGAGCAAACATGTCTGACTGCAATATCGTAGAAATGGAAGAACTTGAACCACATGAGGCGTTGTGGTGGTATTATTGAACTTCTAGCAGCTGTGTCCAATTGGGATATCGTAGAAATAGTTTCACTGTCGGCCCACCTCACTGTCGGCCCACCTGAAGAACCTGAAGAATTTGCAGTCGTCCGATCCTTATCCCCAACGCGGGCACATGTAGAATTGTCACATGTAATTATGTATCTGTCATGATGAGAATAGCAAGGGCGGTAGCCCACATCGGCACATCATTTGCCTTGACTTCCATGAATATCTCGAGCTCATTATCCTGCAATTATTATAAAAAATGTTGATCAGTCAAAAACTATAGGGAATAAAAAAAAAACTCAACATACCAAATTGTGGAAGCAATGGTTGAAACAGAGTTTTTTGACCATCCAAGGTGCTCCACTTTATATGAATAAAAGTAATAAACATTAAAGCAAGAGGGCAAGGTTTGATCTCTTAGAAAGTAATGTTGTAAACAAATCTATATCCCGAACAGCTATATTGAAAAGAAATTGAGGAATGTCCTGAAATGTAAATTTTCTGTTTAAATAATTAATAGGCATTGCTCTAAACATTTAGTTGAAATATACTTTTGCAGTTTGTATTAATTGGCATCATTTACTATCCATAATTTGAATGTTTCAATTACTATGTATGTAAACAGAATTAAATAAAACCTGAGAGAATGGGCTTTGAAATTAAAATTAAAATTGCTGCATTTGCATCTTTCACCGGTCATAAATCAGTTTTTTTCTCAATAACATAATTCTAACTTTTTTCTCCTCTAAATAAACCCACTATTAAAATGCTTCGAGTGCTATGTATGTAAACACCTTTAACATGCTTCGAGTGCTATGTATGTAAACATCTTAATAATTTTCATGCATATCATGACATATAAGCCACGACATATAAGTCAAGGCATATAGAAGCCAATGCATATCAACTGAAAACCAAGCAGGTACACTTACAATTCGAAGCAAGTCAACTTAAAATCACTTTTGAATCTCTAAGTAGGTAGTCATGATGCACATGTAAAAAAACCTCATGAATGTTAAAGTTGCTACCAACTCTCCCAACTGACATGATAATAATCTCATCAATGTTAAAGCTACTATCATATGAGCAATAAAGGTAGGACAACGTGAACAAACAGGATCTCAAATCCAAACAGAAATTTCATCTCGATCAGGAAGAAAAACAAAACTGATAACAACAAGATAACAACAAGGTCTCAAATGGATTCCCCCAATTCCATCATAAAAAAATAAATGACACAATGGTTGCTGTAATTATTTAAGTCATCCTAAAGTGTCATTTTTTTTAATACAAGACAATAGAGAACAGAGGTTGAACAAATACAGCAATTTCTCTTTTTCAGCCAAAGACGCATCCTCCATCAATTAAAAGACCAAACAAAACTACTGTACAACTCCATGTGTAACATTTCAAATTTCCCCAATCAACTTCGTATCGAGCCCAAAAAGAGCATTTAAATCCCTAAAAAACAGAATTTTGCTGCATTCGATGATGCATTCGAAAACTAGCAAATAATCAGCCTTCAGATGGGCATTCAAACTCTTCAACAAAAAAAGTAGGTATTCAGTTCGAACAACGCATTTAAATCCTTACAAAAATACAACATTTGATCACCCAGAAAATCAACAAATAACCGGCCTTCAAAAGTGCATTTGAACTCTTCCATCAGTAGATATCTAGCCCAAAAATGCAATGCATATATGAGTAAAGTGGTAAATGCGTAAGAAATGAAGTCCAGGTGGTAAGGACATAAATATGTGAGAATTAGATGTATGCCTGTAAATCATCCAACCTGACACATGCAAACAAATGAGCTCGGCAACGATTGATTGGTCATAACAAGAAACAAACATGCAAATTCTCATGTGATAATAACTTCAGTAAAAATAACTTGTTGACTATATCAATATCACAAGTATTAATAAAATTATTTTCATACATCCCCAAATGCAACTTTATTTACAAATCTAACACCCAAATAATTAGAACAAGGCTTGATGATGATTTTAATTCTCATTAAAGAGATGGTCAGAGCCCTGTTATTTGCCCCATAACCATCAAATAGTCAGCTTAAATAATGAATATAGAAACATTTAGAGTAATGTACCAAAATAATAACTTGGCTATTTCGATGAGATCGGTTTAGTTCCAGAGTAGCAAAGTTGTTACATGGCATGTCAACCTACCTAGATGAATGTGCAGTACAATCTATTAGCATTGGCCAACCATAAAATTGTCTAAAATAAGCATGCTAATATAAACTTCCTCTTTCTTTTTTTACTTTATAAACCATTTCATGCTTAAAGAACAACCATAGTCAAACAAATTTACCCGCAGTAAATTCAGGATTATACCAAATTATACATAAAATACAAGAAAACTTTGCTACCAAAGCAATATGGCAAAGAAAACCTTTTGTATTAACCCTACCAAATTAAACCTTGCTACAAAACTTTGCATTTTGTGTTAAGCCCATCAAATTAAACTTTGTTACCAAAACTTTGCCTTTTGTATTAAACACACCAAATTAAACTTTGCTACCAAAGCAATATGGCCAAGAAAACCAAAACCAATTTTCATGCACATTTAAAACCAAATCTATATGAATAAAAACATAAATCGTATCCTTCAGTACATCAAATGTGATTATGAAATGAGACACATATATGCTAGTGAATGAGTTATCGGAAAGATTGAACCCATGAAGATTCATTGGATATAAATAAATTGTTTTAAAAATCTTGCCAAAACTATTGAATCATTGCACTATAAACTTATTATTTTAAAGAAATTGTTTTAAAGCTGCAATATGAATTTTGAAATATAATTTATAGCTAATTTATTTTTCTACAATATGAATTCTGGAATCATTATACTATAAACTTAATAAAAAAAACAACAAATACTTAATAAAATTGAAATTATTAAAGGCATTTAAAAGAACATTTGTAAATTTTCCAATGTTGTGATCATAACATTTTCTCTATCAAAACTTAACAACCAACTTCATCTCAAAATTGCATAGTGCTTCAAAAGTGATATTAATCAATTAACAATTAAACATCATGTAAAGAGATGTTGTAAAAAACTTCATTCACGACCGACTGATATCATCTGCTATTTGTTCTCGTAAAGTCGTCATCTATGATGCACCTTCATCCTCTCGAGTGCATGCATCTTCTGAACAAAACTCTTCATGTATTGAACGTCCCACGTGATATTCAAATGCTTCAGGTGAGATTTACACTGAATTATCTTTTAAAATGACAAACTCTGTATCCCATCTGGAAGGGTGGCGTCGGATGAAATTGTGTAGCGTCATTGTGCCAACAACTATTTGTACTTGCTTTGGAAAAGGGTAAGACGACATATATCCGACATATCCCGTAATAGGACTCACTTCTTCTTCCACACTCCGAACGCTCTTTCAATTACGCCGTGCAATGAAGTGTGTCTTTTGTTAAAAACCTATTTTTTACCTCGTGCGACACCACTAAATCTTTCAAAATCAGGAATGTGATACTTCGTATCTGGATATGGCTTTAGATATCCCCTTTGTAATGGATATCCAGCATCAACCAAATAGTATTTACCCAGAGGTGGGTACGAAAATCCATGTCTCAAGAAAATCCATGTCTACTTGAAAAAACGACTATCGTGGGCGCTTCCTTCCCATCCAACCATGACAAAAGTAAAACACATATTAAAATCACATACGACCATAAAATTTTGTGTTGAGGCGCCGCACCGGCCGATGTACGCAACTTTTTCTTCACTAGATAGTCGTGCATCGACGTGTGTCCCTTCAATAGCTCCAATACAATATTGGAGTTACAACTAAAAAGTTTTTTAAAATGTAATGTAATAAAAGTAGAAAGATAAATGCAATGGTAAAAAACAGACCTTAAACTCTCAGACACGCAACAAATGAAACAACCAACAAAGGTCCGACAACAGAAATTCCAACAAAACTTCAATAACCCCAAACTCTTCTTTCAAAAATACACATGAATATAACTACCATCATTCCTTAAACTTTCATATTTGCGTACAACCATCATGAATGTAAACACATAATAATTGTGTGTTAGGTTTGTACATTTCCCTTAACTTTATAGAAAATCGTGTTAGTTAGGTTGTTATCCCAAAAATTTTTAATTTGTGTTATGGGCA